GACATGTGATTATAATTTTCTTTGTAAAAAACTAAAACATAAGCTGGTTGGTATATAATAATAACTAATGAAATTCTGAAAAATGCCTTTATGATTTTTGTGATTTATGTATCACTTTTTTTTTGGTCTTTTTGAGACAGGGTCTCCCTGTAGCCCCAGCTGGCCTGGAACTCACGATGTAGACCAGGCTGGCCTTGAATTCACAGGGATCCACCTGCTCTGCCTCCCAAGTGCTGGGATTAAAGGCATGAGCCACCACTCCCAGCTAATGTATCACTTTAAACCTGCCATTTTAGATGAAAAAATAAATGTAGCATCAAAAAGACAAAAAAAAATATCTTGGAGAAACTCAGAATTGAAAGAATCTATCTCAACATAATAAAGGCTATATACGATAAACCTATAGCTAACATTATATTAAATGTTAAGGCATTTTTAGTAAATTCAGGACTAAGACCAAGGTGGCCACTTTTTCCACTCTTATTCAGTATGGTACTGAAAGTCTTACTTTAAGACCTAAGTATTGCTATAGCAATAAAACAGGAAAAACCAAAAGGAATAAAAGGGCTGGAGAAATGGCTCAGAGGTTAAGAGCACTTACTCAATGATGAGAACCAGAGTTTGATCCCAGCACCCACCTTGGGTAACTCATAAACACCTGTAACTCCAGCTCCAAGGGCTCTAACACCCACTTCTGGCTTCCAGTGGGGCCTGCATTCACATGTGCAAATATGCTCACACAGACACAGACACACAGACACACACACACACATGCACACACACATACATATACATAAATAATAAAATAAAATAATCTTTAAAAGAGATCCAAGTAGGAAAGGAAAAAGTCCGAGTACCTCTAGTTGCAGATGATGATTCTACTCCTAAAAGGCCCTAATCACTCAAACAGAAAACTCTTAGAATTGACCAACACTTTAAAAAAAGTGGAATGAGCCAGGCTTGGTGGTGCACACCTTTAATCCCAGCACTCGGGAGACAAAGGCAGGTAGATCTCTGTACAATAGAGGCAAGCCTGGTCTCCATAGCCAGTTCCTGATCAGTCATGGCTACAGGGAGACCCTGTCTCAAAAAGACCAAAGGAAAAGAAGGAAAGGAAGGAAGGAAGGAAGGAAGGAAGGAAGGAAGGAAGGAAGGAAGGAAGGAAGGAAGGAGAGGGTGAAAAAAAAAGAAGGAAGGAAGGAAGGAAGGAAGGAAGGAGGAAAGAAGGAGAAAATAAAAAGGAATGATACAAAATCATCACACAAAAGTCAATAGCCTTGGGCCTGGAGAGATGGCTCAGCAGTTAAAAGCACTTGCTACCCTTGCAAAGGACCCAGGTTCAGTTTCTAGCAACCACATGATGGCTAACAACTGTCCTTAACTCCAGGGAATTTGATGCCCTCTTCTGGCAAAACATTCACACATGTAACAGAAAAAAAATCAATTTTTTTTTACATCAGTAGTCTTCCTGTATACCAATAATAAACATACTGAGGGAAAAAATCAGGTGAACAATCCCATTCACAATAGCTTTTAAATTTATTTTAGAATAAACCTAACCAAGGAACTGAAAGACTTCTGCAATGAAAACTTTAAAACACTGAAGAAATAAATTGAGGAGATGGAAAGATCTTTCATGTTCATAGATCAGAAGAATCACTATTGTGAAAATAGCTGTCCTAACAAAAGTGATCTATGGAGTCAATGCAATATCAGTAAAAACTCCAGTGCTGTTCTTCATAGACAAAGAGGAAACTACCCTAAAATTCAAATGGGAGCACAAAAGACCATAGATAATCAAGACAATCCTGAGCAAAAGGAACACTGCTGCAGGCATCACCATGCCTGATTTCAAGTTATGCTACAGAGGTACAGTAATACAAACAGCATGGCACTGGCACAAAAACAGACATGTAGATCAATGGACTCAATGGAGGATCAAGATATAACTTCAAGCACTGAGAGCTACCTGTTTTTTTTTTTTACAAAGACAGTAAGAATACACATTGGAAAAAACACAGCATCTTCAACAAATGATTCTGGAAAAACTGGATATCTACATGTAAAGAATGAATTTAGACTCTTCTTTGCCTCTTACCTTGCACAACAATAAATTTCAAATGGATCAAGGCCTCAACATAAGACCTGAAACTCTGAAAATGACAGAGTAAAAAGTAAAAGGCACTCTTCAATAAATAGGCAACAAGAACTTTCTGAATAGAATTCTGATCTCTCAAGAAATAAGACCAATAATTGACAAATTGGACCTCATGAAATTTAAAAATTTCTGTTTATCAACTGAGTGAAGAGGCAGCCTACAGAATGGCAGAAAATCTTTGTCACAGGACTGGTATCTAGAATATACAAAGACTTCCAGAAACATCAAGGAAACCAATTAAAAGTAGGCTATCCCATCAACAAAAAGTAGGATATGGAACTGAACAGAGAATTCTCAAAACGAGAAATACAAATGGCTAATGAACAGTTTTAAAGTTATTCTGCCTCATTAGCCACCAGGGAAATGTAGCTTAGAATTACTTTGAGGTGTCACTTCACGCCAGTCAGAATAGCTGTTATCAAGAAACAAAGGGCAGCAGATGCTGGTGGGGACGTGGGGATAGAAGAGCCCTTATGCACTGAGGATGGGAGTATAAGCTGCTACAGCCACTGAGGAAGTCCATGTTCAAGTTTCTTAAAAAATTAAAAATAGCTGGGCATGGTGGCGCACGCCTTTAGTCCCAGCACTCGGGAGGTAGAGGCAGGCAGCTCTCAAGGCCAGCCTGGTCTACCTAGTGAGTTCCAGGACAGCTGGGGCTACAGGGAGACCCTGTCTCAAAAAGACCAAAAAAAAAAAAAAAAAAAAAGCTAAAAGAAAGCTACCATATAACCCAGCTATGTTGTTCCTGTACATATCCCCAAAGGACTCTGTGTCCTAACCATAGAAATACTTACACATCTATCTTCATTGCTACTGTATCCACAATAGGTAGGAAATGGAATCAGCATAGATAGTCTGTCAACTGACAAATAGGACACGAAAATGTGGTACATATACACAACTAAATTCTATTTAGTGATAAAAATGAAATTTACAGGGAAATGGACTGGAAAGTGTACTAAATGAGGTAAGCCAGGCCCAGAAAGGCAAACATTCTATGTTCTCCTGCATATGTAGATCTTAGCTTCACATTTTTAAATGTGTGTGTTTAATTTGGAGGATCTACAGAGACTAGGAACCTACAAAGTGCCCATCGTAGTGGGGAGAGCAAGAGGCCTTATGTTGGAGAGTAGATAGCAGAATACATGTGATAAAGCTGGGCTGGGAATACTCGGGGTTAAAGGCTTGAATAGGGAGGTAGGGGAGATGGGGGTAAAGGGTGGCTTAACCAAAAATAAGGGCATATGAAAAAGCTTTATGAAAACCCATTACTTTGTAGGCTAATATATAATATAAAATACATAATATACTATAAATATATATATTAGAGCAAATTTGAATAAGGTACCCTGCATGAGTGAACAATGCAACCCACAGAAGACATAGGTTTTTAAACAAAAATAACAGTTATGGAATACCTCCTTATGAGTTATTGGTCAGTGAGGCCCCAGGGACACCCCCCCCAAACAATACAGTTATTGCCATAGATTGTTCAGTAGAACTACATGGTAAGACCCTATTGCTGAAAACATCACACATTTTGGTTGAGTACATAGAAAAATCAAGCTGGAATTTACCTGGAAACTTCCACTCTGGCAAGCTTCTACAGTGCCAAAAGATGCTAAGCAGGCTGCTGCGAACCCTGCATGCTACGACAATGACCTGCAGAGGCAGGATGTGACTGTGGATCTAACAGTGGCAATATGCAATAGGAGTAACCAACTGTTTTCTGATTGGCTTTGAGGACTGCTCCACAGGAGGGAATTCATGTCAGGTACCATAAACCTGATCTAAAGCTAATGCTGGGGAGGTCATGGGCCTTGGGGAGACAAAGACCTACTACTGCTGTTTTGTTAAAAAACATGCTGTCAAACTGCCTTCCAAGAAACTCCAATAATGTAAAGGATAAAGCTTCCTAAATACTTATATTTATATCCATAAATAGGTGCAGCTCTCAATCTTGGTCAGAAGCTTCTCTGTAGTGGACAGAAGTCAATGCAGAGACTCATAGCTGGTCAGAGTGCTGAGAGTGTCGGTTGAGCATTCAGCACTAAATGGGACATCTATTATCAAAGGGTCTCAGGAAAATTGAAGAAGAGGAAGCAGAAAGAATGTAAGGTGGGGAGTAGTGTTGTCTTCTGGATACAACACGGCCACTGAACTCATGCTCTGACAGCACTTGTGGTTACCTACACAAGACCTACACAAGATCACGCCAGTCAACAATTCCAACATGGATGGAGAGGGGCTCATGAGGCTTCATCTCAAGCTGAAACGCTATTGGCAGTGAATGGCTTTTGGAAGAGGGGAAGTCATTTTCCTTCAAGGGTGTGGCCACTGGTAGACTGTCCATGCTGAGGTAGGCAGTAATAATTGATTCAGTCAGCTATGGTAAAAAAGAAAAAAAAAAAGAGGACATGAAAGCAGGATGGGTATGTGTCTGTGGGGTCCCAGGGGAGTTGGAGGGGGTAACTGGGGTTAGATAGGATCAAAATACATTGTATATAAATATGAAATTGCCAAGGAATAAATAAAAATATTTTTAAAAATGGTGCTGAAGAGCCTGAGACCTAAAGCCCTTCTGCTTGACTGGCAATCATAAGCAAATTAACCTTTCTGTGTCTCAGTTTCCTTATCTGTAAAAGAAGAATAATTAACCTTACAAAGTGAATGTGAGGGTGACTCAGTTCATCCGCAAAGTATTCCCCAAAGTTCCTGACAGTTTTGGCTCCTAGAGATGAATCTTACACAGATGTCATTGTCCTGCTAAGTTATAAAACTCAAAACTGGGCCCACCCAAACACAAGATCAATCCACAGGGCAAACACAACAGAGTGCCTACCTGTCGATAAATTTTTTGCATATCTTTAATTCTGTCGTTTAGAGAACTGACGACATTCCAAGACTCCTCTCTAAGTCGATCCTCAAACTTCAATTGAATCAAATCTTTGAGGAATCCAAAATCCACCTGAAGTGATTTAATCATCTACAAAAGTAAAATCCATGCATTATTGTAGAGTGAGGCCTTCTGTGCAGTATGCCAGCCCAGTCCTTGGTTTGGGGTATTTGATCTGGTATCTGGCCTGCCTTTTAAGATTAGCTCTCAGATGTGTATGTCCATAAAGTCATCGGGTAGATTGAGAATTTCAATACCTCTATCTCATCATTGGCTAGGTTTTCAAAATGATGGTTAATTTGAAAACTAAGACATGCTGATTGAGTGGCATGGTTTGAATATGGTCTGTCTGCTCCAAAACTTATGTTGGAGTTTAGTCTCAATTTTGAAGCATTAAGAGGACGAAGACTTAGGACTGGAGAAAAGGCTCAGCAGTTAAGAGTACTGACTGTTCTTGCAGAAGACCCTGGTTCAAATCACAGCACCCACATGGTGGCTAACAATCTTCTATAACTCCAGTCCCAGGGGGTCTGATGCCCTCTTCTGACCTCCGAGGGCACTGCAGAGCACGGGTGTACTTAAACACATGTAGGCATAAAACTCCTACACACACACACACACACACACACACACACACAAAAGATGATGAAAACTTAATGAAACTTGTGATTAGAGGTGGGGCTTTGAGAACATGATTAGGATTAGATAAAGTCCTGAGAAGGAAGAAAGGAACGGAGGTGAGGAGAAGTGGGTCAGGAAGTAAGAATAGGCAGCACGTATTTGCAAACTGTAACTGAAAGGATCCTAAACACCACTGCTATCTAAATCCTCCAGACTAAAACTTAGTTTGGACATACCTGGTTGTCAAAAAATAAACTTAAAAAGATTTTCCAAAACAAAAACCTTTATAAAAGAAGATAATAAATTGACAAGTATGCTGCAGAGACATCTCCCCAAGCTCCGGGGAGAGTGTAAATTGGAAGTATCTCAGCAGGGCAATTTGGCAATGCCCTTCAAAATGACTAATGTACACATCCTGTGACTCAAAATTCCCTTTTAAAAATTTACAGCACAGACTTACTGGCACAGGAGTTCATGCAGGATTATTCATCACAGAAAAAGATTAGTAACTTCCAAAATGTCCATCAATACAAAGATAGCTAAATGCATGATGCCCATCTTGTGATAGGGTATACTTGTGAAATAAAGAAAGTGCTGGAGATTGAACCCAAGACCCGGCTCATGCTGGGCAAGCACTCTATATTCCCTTCCCACTCCTTAAAACAATTTCACATTTTGACATAGTGTCTAAATTGCCCAGGGTGGCCTCAAACAGGTGCTACTCCTGTCTCAACTTCCTGAGTGCTATTGTATTCAACTATGTGGAAGATCTTTCTGTACCAATATGGAATGGTTTCCAATGTCTATTAAGTGCAAAACAAAGCTGAGGTAAGCGGGACTTGTAGTAGTATGTCAATTCGTGTGGTAGGGTTAGTAATAACTCGGTGTCTTGTATTTATGCAATATTCTATTCTTTTACAATCTAAAAAGATCCCAAGGAAATGCTGTCACATTAAGATGTGATAAAGTGCCGGGCGTGGTGGCACACACCTTTAATCCCAGCACTTGGGAGGCAGAGGCAGGCGGATCTCTGTGAGTTCAAGGCCAACCTGGTCTACATAGTGAGTTCCAGGCCAGCTGGAGCTACAGGGAGACCCTGTCTCAAAAAGACCCCCCCCCAAAAAAAAAGATGTGACAAAGCTGTATGGCAAGCAAGTTATTCAGTAAATCACTGTCCACGATCATCTAGATGCAAAAATATTTCAAAAATTTCTTAAACTATCAAAAATAGAAAGTATTCACAGATGTCAAAAGGACAAAACAAAACATTTTACAGAACAGGTTAACATGTGTAAGCATGGCACAAACATGACAAGCAATAAACCACAGCTTATATTAATTTAAAAAAAATACAACTGACATTCAGCTCAGTTTCTCAAAGGCAGTATCTTGAAGCAATTTTTTGGGGGGTCTTTTTTTTTGCAGAAATCTGCCTTCCTCTGCCTACCTAGTGCTGGGATTAAAGGCATGAGCCACCATGCCTGACTTTAAAGCAATCTTAATCATTTCAATTCTGCCAATAAAAACCACATGAAAATAAATGGCTCAGAGTGCAGTACAGTGGTTGAATGCTTACACAACATTCCTGAGGCCCTGGGTTTGATCGCTAGTACAACCAATCCCTACCCCATAAAGACAAATAGCATACAAAATTATCTTACAAGGTTAAAGAAATCCAGATTTACCTTCATTAACTCTTGTGTTGATAGACTCAAATCTTGTAATGGCACAATTTCACTACAATCTGTTTGAGTTGCATGGTCAGACGTGAAAAAGCCAACCTTTAAATTATCTGAAATAGTAAGTCTGAAAAGAGAACAGAGATTGAATGTGGTTTATGCCATAACTATTTTCTTAAAAGTAGGTTAGCACATATATTTGGGGGGGGTGGGAAACTAACTGTGTTTTAAACACACTAGACGATTGGTGAAGTGAGGAAACTTCTGGAATATCTGGCTGTGCCTGAGGTTGAGTTTTGAAGCAGGAGATTCTTGGCACTGTGGCACACTGCTGTTGGGTGCTTTATCCCCACTTTTCGAGATATAATGAACTTCAGTGTGTTATCTTAATATCTTATCCTGTGCTATGGTGAGAAACAATTATGATTTATGCAAAGGCACAGTGTAAGTACTTCAAGGTGGTGATTCTCCCAGTGTAATCTCAGGACCCTTGGGGTTCCAGAATACTGAGGAGGACTCCATGAGATGAAAAATTATTTTTCATAATACTAAGATTTTGTTTTCCCTGTAATTCTCTCACAAGTGTTCACTGAAGTGTCCAGTGGCTGCAGGCCACATGACTGCTGAATGCAAAAGGAACTAAGCTGACCCTGTTGGCTTCCATTAAGCCAGGCATAAAAAGATTTGCAAAAGTGAAAAACAGTGACACTTTTCACATTACAGTTTTGAGCAGTGTGCTTATCTGGGCCTGGAGGGCAGTTAAGAGCACTGCCTGCTATTGCAGAAGACCAAGGTTTGGTTCCCAGCACTCACATGGCAGCTAACAGCTGTCCATAACTCTAGTTGCAGGGGATCCAGCACCCTCTCCTGGCCTCTGTGGGCACTGCATGCGCATGGTGCACTTATATACATGCAGGCAAAACACTCGTATGCATAAAATAAAAGTACATACATTTTTTAAAAAATTTAAAAGGAAGTACGATTGTTTTTTCTTTAAAAGTGTTATCTATACTAACACACAATCGATTGGCTTATCACTATCCTAAAAGAGTTACTATAAATACATATTTAATTTCTTCTTTTAAATTTAAACATGGCAACTATCAATAGATATGATCAACATAAACTAAAGTTCTTTGAGGTTGTCAGTTATTTTTAGAAATTTAAGAGGCCCAAAAGCCAAAAACCCGGAGCTGTGTTTTAGGGAATCACACCACCATCCTGGATCATTAAACTTCGTTCCCAAAGCATTTAAAGAGGCCAGGATCGAGTCTTTGTAGTTGTCCACAGGCCTCTAACCGCCAACATATCAAGCAGCACTAAAAAGCTGATTTTCTGGATGTGCCTGTCAACTTGTCCAAACCGATCACCACCCTCGCTAGCTAAAATGTCAGCTTAGAAAAAAGAAGGAAAAGAAAATCCCGATAGAAACACCGGGCTCAACACGGGCTCTATCTGAAGTCAAAGTGTAAGTGAGTCTCTTCTTCCTCTGCTGACAAGTGGGGACACACCCTAGTGGAGGCAAGTTGGCTGTTCCCTTCTTGCTTAGTGGTAGAGTTGCAGATTTGTCCCCCAGAGAGTTCAGGGGAGATTGGCCATGTCCCTAGTGCTAAAGGCAAGTCCTCTCTGGTCAAAGCCCATCAAGATATTCCCCTTCTTCTGGGCAATAAGTAAGCATTGAGCATAGAATCTGGTTCTAGTGCAGGTGACATTAGCAAAGGTCTTCTGGGCTTGTTGGGGAAAGCTCTTTATCTACTGTACAGAAGGCACCAGAGGAGAGTTTCATGTCACTTTGGATATAGTCAAATGTGGAAATCATGCCAAGAACCTCCCCAGTCATCCCATGACCATGAAAGGAATCAGCTAGAGGGAAAACTAGTACTTAAGGTGATGACATTTCCAAAAAGATGGAACTAAGCCAGGTATGATGACACATTCTTGGGAAGATGAGGCAGGAGGATTTTGAGTTTGAAGCCAGCCTGGGGTACACAGTGAGAGCTCTTCTCAAAAAACAAAGAAACAGAAAACAGAAATGCATTTGATGGCTGACTTTATGCAGCTAGGTCTGGCACCTGCCATATCTGCTCTCCCTGTAATACTGCATAGTGTGCGCCCCCTGCTGGTAGCTTCTGTCAGCTCTTCTGAAAGCATCCTAAATGATGCTCCAGCCACATGACTTCAGGGAAATGACACAACTTTTCCATGCCCCAGTTTCCTCTTACGGAAAACAATAGTGTCTGTTTCATAGGGTCATTGAAGGACTGGATGTATAAATGCTTAGATGTACTCTGGTGCTTGATGCAGTGTTTTGGTAAAGACATATTCTGGATAAATGGCTTTTACTTACCCTTGCAACAAAAAACTTATTCTTAGCTTGTTTATAACGTAGACAAGCTCAATGAGCCTTGAGTTCCTCTTGTAACCTAAACATAGAGCTTATGACCCTTCCTTACCCTTGACCCAGACCCAGGTATGAACGTGTTTGTGCGTGTTGTGCATATTTGTTGGAACTAATGAAGACTGTCCCATTTGTGTTTCAAGCAACAAGGATTAAATTGATGTCTATTGGTGAGTGAGTGTGTGTGTGTGTATGTGTGTGTGTGTGTGTGCACGCATGTGCTATTATAAGTCATTAGGGCCAAAAGAACATAATCCTTTGATAAGATAGGGTCTGATTTTTCACTTCCCCATTTCATGCTGGGTGCACATTTCCAATAAATATGGGCCTTGTCCTAGAGCACAGTTCTGAGGGTAATCTGAAGGAACAGGTGCTCAGAGGAGCTTCAGTTCCTCTTAGCTGAAATGGACACTAAGGGTTAGGCAGTCTTTATTCATGTAACACCCAAATGTGGCATCACATATGAAATGCCACACACAGCAAGCCCTTGTGGGATATCACCAACTCTTGGTGCTGTGGTGATGGTTATTACACTGTTGTCATGGTCATGTCTTGAAACAACACAATTCTTTCATCATATTTGAAGAAAACTACGAAAGCACAACAACATTCAACTACGAGATGCTAATTTGAAATTTAAAACAATACTCTAATATTTTTCTCAATTAATCCTACTAAATTCTCAACTATCCTTCCACACATATCAAAATTTGATGACAGATTTTGTCTACAGTGTTATCTAGGTAGAAATACAAGTTTCTGTTACAATTTGTGAATTTTTTTTCCAGAAGAAACTGTGCTTTAGATTTAGTATAATTCTATTTAAGAGCATGTATTTTCTTCCCACTGACACAGTACTCTGGGAAGCATCAAGTTCCAGAGGCATTCAGCATTCCTGCACATACTTTGTAAAGGTGCTGAGAAGGCAAAGCCCCAGCCCCTCTCCTTGTACACCATTTCTCAGTTATGTTTCCAGGGCGCAACCTTGAAGGATGAGGTAATGTCTCCCCCCTACCAAGAAGCAGGCTTGCAGAGCTGGAGAGACGGCTCAGTGGTTAAGAGCACTGGCTGCTCTTGCAGAGGACCTGGATTCAGTTCCCAACACCCACAATGGCAACTAACAACCATCCATAACTCCAGTTCCGGGGAATTCAATGCCTTCTTCTGACTTCCTCAGGCACTACATGACACAAATGCACTTACATACATGCATACAATACACTCCTACACATTTTAGAAAAAGAAGAAGAAGGAGGCTTACTACTTCATGTATAAAACGGCAGTTCCCCAAGCTCTTGGCTTCTCCAGTGCAACTCAGTATGTGTACAGATATCTATGGTGAGTCTTTCCTGTCACTTCCTGGGAGCCGAGACTCTGGGAGGGGGTCAATACAAGTGAGCATGAAGCTCCTTTGTCATTTGTCATTTGGCTCTGAATCCTCTGTTGTCTAGCAAAGAACATGGGCAGTCCCAGGAGAACATATTAGCTCCTAAGTAGGGTGAGGTCTTAAACACTGCACCACCCTTGACAAGCATTTGACCCAGAAAATCATCTCCGAAATGTTTATAAACTGGGTGTGGTGGTACACACCTATAATCCCAGCCCTGGAGAGACTGAGTGTGAGAATCACCCTTGAGGCCAGCTTGGTGGCATACTGAGTACTGAATGTCCTTTTCAAAACCAATTTATGGGTCTGGAGAGATGGCTCAGCAGTTAGGAGCACTGGCTGCTCTTGCAGAGGACTCAGGTTCAATACCCAACACCCACATGGTGGCTCACAACCGTCTGAAACTCCAGTTCCAGGGGATCTGATACCCTCTTCTGACCCCCATGGACACTGAATGATATGGGTGCAGGCAATATACTCATACATGAGTATAATAAAAATAATAAGTGAAATATTATAAAAAATAATTTACAGTGATCAGTTGTAAAAATATCAACATTTAAAGTTCTGTCTCTCTAAAATCTATAGCTAGCTCTGAAAATCATTTGTGAAAAACACTGCTAAATTACGATGATTATGCTAAAATCAATTATGAGATTATATGGCACTAAAGACATGAATAAGTCAGATGACTGACATTAAACACATTTTCAGAGTAGTATATTATACAAAATTCACAAAAATTCAATTAAAAATTGGTAGACTAATAAAAACAGAAGAGTAACTTTTAGCAATGACAACTAAAATTTCAGGAAAGTGTTCTCAGTAGTTTTCAAAGATGACAACCATTATTGATGACAAATTGTATATATGGATAGCTTTTCTAAGAAAATGTGTTTCAGGAAAAAAAATTTTTTTTTTTTTGGTCTTTTTGAGATAGGGTCTCCCTGTAGCCCCAGCTGTCCTGGAACTTCCTGTGTAGACCAGGCTGGTCTTGAACTCACAGAGATCCGCCTGCCTCTGCCTTCCAAGTGCTGGGATTAAAGGCGTGTGCCACCATGCCCAGCAAAATTTTAAGTTCTCTTGTGATACATTTGAGAATATTTCAAGACATAAAACAAAAACAGTCATGGCATTTTCAAATGTGCCCCCAAAGTGTAGCTAACAATGTAGAGTTTTCCTGAAATGACTCTAAGTCTCTAACCCTTGGTTCATTTTAATTTTAAAATCACATTTATTTTTGTGTGTATGTGCATGTGTGCACATGGTACAGGGTACATGTTTGGGCCAGAGGACAGCCTACAGGAGTTGATTCTCTCTTGCTACCTTGTAGTTACCAGGG